GGAAAAGGTCGGAAAATTGTCTTCGTTTTGGGACTGGTGGGCCGAGTCTCTGTTTGTATCCATTATTGTCGCGAAGTATATTATTTTTCCCCGCGCTAACAATGGCCGCTCGCGCGAAAAAAAAATTTCCGGCGAAGCGATTTGCTCACGCTATCAGCGTGCACTATTGGAATTTTGCGCACGCTTATGTATACTGAATTTGGTAGCGCGGCTTTAATTGCTAACTATGTTATAAATATTATTAGAACAAAAAATTATCTTCAAAAAAATTATCTTCAAAAAAAAGTTTTCTTGATACTATTGTCAGTTTACCTGTTTCCAACATCTTTTGAGTGATGCAGTCTAGTTTATATAATCAAAGATTGCAATAGATTCAAGATCTGTTCACCAAGTTAGAAAACTGAAGATTGTGGTCAAAATAAACCACACTAAACAGTATGCCTGGGTCTCACACCTGAGAGAGTAGAGAAGTTTTACGAATTTCTGAGAAAAATAAAACAGATTAGTGAGTTGAAAAAATAATGTTGATCTCTCATATTCTGAAAACTTTGTTCTTTATTCTGGATTCTGTCTACATGGAATACCATTTTTAAAAGAACAAAGCCCTGAGTTTTTTTTTTTCTTTACAGGTGACAGTTTTGAAAGCTGTTAGCTATCATTTTCAGTGTTAATGACATTCTCCCGAGTTGTTCGTTGTTTTATTAAGGGTTTTATTGGGGAGTTCGTGGTCGAAAACAAGCTTTATCGATACACCATGCCTAGCCAAAACTATAGAATTTAATTATCGTGTCAAGACTTGTTCACAATCTGCAGTTGTGCTTGCAAAACATTGCCCCATACCAATGACCCCATAATAAATTATTTCTCACAGGATAAATGATTGAACATAATTATCATTTAACAAAATAAGTTTAAGAACCGGAAAATTGTTACATATGTCATAGATTGATGTCTTACAAAAATAAGAGGGAAAATGTGTTGATTAACACTGACTTCATTCCACTCCTTCAGCCAGGTTAAGATGTGTGGTAAATGGCAACTAGAAAGAGCTGGGCCGGGTTGTTCAAAGGTGGGTTAAGATAACCCAGGGTTACCGTAAAATTTAATTGAAGATCTGAAAGCTTTAAAATTAATTTCACTTTACTTCCATTTGTTTACAATTTGGTGATTGAATGCTCTAAGAAGAATTGGGAAAATTATCTTAAAACGGCTTTTGAACAGAGGAATATAGAAACCTGGATTAAAATTTAACCCTGGGTTAGCGCTAATCGGTCTTCGAACAACTTGGCCCTGGTCATTACATGAGGTGTGTGTAGGAATTTATAAAATATATAGTCATATAAAAAGGTAATTTCTGTAATTGAGCCAAGACCTATCAGCTGTAGCATATGCTGGTTGTCATAGCAGCATAAAGTGTGCGAACTGTGAAATTCATTGCACGGAAAGGGTTACTTATGTACCTGCTATGAAATGCCTGTATTTTAAAAACATCTTAATTAAGATTAATTAAGAGATTACGATTAAGCTCTTCGATTAACTTGTATGGAATCAGAAGCCAAATGAACGAAGTCTCTGTAACAGGTAATTCTGCTGTTTATCAGGAAGAAATATGCCCTTGAAGTTGCGTCACCAGTTCCCCTTTGTATACTTTTTAATTTAAAGATTTGCACAATAATTACAATGTAAACAGGTAGTACGAATAATAAGACATTATGTCTCTTAACACCCTCCATTGTGCGCATGCATCAGTTTACAGTTAAGATTTCATTGATGGTCATCGGTTCAATACTGTAACTGTATTAATGGAGAAATCTGGTTTCAATAAGTTTTTCTTTCACTCTTCTTGTCGTTTCCTTGCAGGCAAGAGTACAAGGACTGGACTGCTGCTATGTCTCCTAAACCAAACAAACCAATTTGGCAGCTGAAGCGAAAACATAAGAAAATGAAGAGAAGTGATGATTGGTAATTGCCAGTCAAGTTCACTTTATTTTGTTGCCTCAAAAACAGAAAATTAAAGAGACTGTTTGAATCTGTCGACTTAGTGAAAATCAGCCAATGGATCTTTGTGTCATTCTCTTAATTGCAGTTTGGAGATTCTGCAAACATACTTTAAGAGATGGCTTTTTGTTTTCTTCCATTAAAGTTGTTGAATGGGGTTTATGTTTGTAGTTTGGTTGCGGTGGTAGTGTTAATGATGATATCAACGATGTTCATGAGGATAAAGATGGCAACTCAACCTTCCATTTCATTTTTAAGAGATAAAGAACGAAAGCAGGACATAAAAAACCAGTGCATTTAATCCTGATTTCAAATGATTTCCTTTACAATCGCACTAGCCAGCACCTTTGCCCCTCATTATTACAGCTGCAGGACGCATGTTTCGCCGCCTGCGGGAAGATTTGAGTCAAGTCGGGGAGAAGTTTACCAGGGGTCTGGCTTTAGACCCCAACCTCTCGCCGGCTCACATTGCTCAAAGCCCCAAACTTTCCAAGGTTCTCGTCGGCAAAGAGACGCTCGTACCAAAACGCTAATAATAAGGGCACGCTGGCAGGCTATAGTCACACCAGTAGTCTAGTTAAGTAGAGTACCACACAAAGGATGACAGTTATAACATGCATTAAGGAATGCATTAAGTCATATCAGCAATGACGCTGTTTTTTTTTTTTTTTTTTTAATTAAAAGGAGTTATCAAGAGAGGGGTCTAAAATGTATCAAAAGAACACGAGGCAAATTTTAGGCGTTCGAGAAGCTGAATATCGACAGCTGTATGGTATGTGAAAGAAAACGCGATACCAAGTTCAAGAGATAAACCGTAAAGAGCAGAGGCCAACGTGGTTTAAAATGTTTTAAAAAGGCTATGTACGTTTAGTATGTTTCATATACAATACGAGGACTAACGGGTATCAAGATACGCTTTCTCCCATCAGGAGTTTTAAGAAAATTTTACTTACACTTGAGATAAGATCATGTATAAAAATTATTATACATGATCTGATGAAACAGAAGACTTGTTTGAAAAAAGGCCAGCGATATCTATTAAAATTTACGAAAACGCGCGTGTCGACTGCAACCAACGATCGTCAGAAACGTACGTTTTCCTTCGAACACCTAAAGATATAGTACACAATCCGTGAACAAAGTAGAAAAAAAATTTTTGAAAATGCATGCATACCTACATTACTTGAAATACAGTTTATGAGCCCATATACCATAGCCTGCAAACCAATCAAATCTTAGAATTGCTACAAATCATAGCCAGTTTTTAATAATTCCGCTCATGATATACGTTTACAGGCGTGTGACTCTCCCTTACAAGACATTTACGACCAGCTAAAGAACGAACCCGAGTTTCAATGTCATCATCAAAGACGACGGCAACTAGAATATTGCAAAGCAAATGGTTTAAAATGAGTAAAGCTTGGAATAATCACAAATTATGAAAATGCTTTCGATGTGTAGCCCAGGAATGCATGAAGATATTTCTTTCTGCGTATCCGAACATCTTATAGTGGCTTGTCTCGCAGTTCTCATTTGTAGTGACTCATTTTGTTAGATCTTGCCGCCTATCTTCCCAGGCATCCAAACCGACGCGAGTCTAGACACCCGCATGAGATCGAGGTCACGTGTGTCTGTCAGTCCAAGATGGCGTCGAAAAGCTTAAAACGGTCTGGCTTCGGATCGATATCCGTGGATATTAGAAAACCAGCGGTACTGAAAAAGGACATGAATAGTATGCGCTCTCCAATGTCGAATGCAACAATTCCTGTGGCCCAGTGTTGAAAACTTGGTATATTTCTCACCTGCAGTCTGCAAATTCCCGAAGAAAAATTTCTCGTGTTTCTGTTCGGATATTCACATGTTCTGTTTTTGTTAGGGTGGGCGGGTGAACACCTGTGTGGCTACTACGAAATACTGTGACTAATCTACGAAAACTGGATTTTCAACCGACATTTTCTCCTGTGTGGCTCACGTGATTGCCCTTCTTCACATGGTTGCTGTCTTGATCAGTTTGCATCATCGCATTCTAAGTTATCAGAACAAAGCCATTCCATTTGGAGGAACTGTAACACACATCACTTGCCTTTGTTTACACCAATTTACGCGCCAACCCAACGCGTTATTTTGATGGGAGCTTTAAGCAGAAATGGGGCCGCATGACGTACAAGTGGCTGTTTTATTAATCAGAACCGTTATAAGATGGGCTCTTATTAAGTTACATGGACATAAAGGTTAGATTGTACCGCAAGTTTATTTTGATCTTCTCTTGCTATGATTGAATTGGAAATAGGGCTAAGCAACGAAATTGTGGTTTTTTTCCCATCAAAACTGCCAGACGAACTAAAATAACGCGTACTAGGAAGTCGAGGTTCTTCAATGGCGAAGTATTCTGCACATTTTACCAAATATGGTGCTAGTTTTCGATTTTAATGTCATTCGGAGACATTCCTATTGCACATTCATGTTTCATTTCTATCGCAGCGATTAAACCAGAAGTTGTTGTCGATCTCTCGAAGAGAAAAAAAAAGGGAAAATTTTGCACTTATTAAACACGGTTGTTTTAGTGCGCGTAAGGATGTTAGAGAACTTTAACGCTGCAGTTAAAACTTTTTTGTTTCAAATCATTGACAATTCAGCAAACCAGATCAGAAGCGCAGAGAGGATGGAAAAAAGGCTGAAAGGATCAAATTTAAATTCATAGGTATTGAGTAAGGCTTTCCTGGGAGAAAGGTAATTCTTAGTTTTTGTCAAAGGTTACTCACTTATCTCTTACAATAAGAAATGTGGCACATTTTATCTCGGCAAGTTCGGGAGGCAAATACAGGGAGAGAAAGAGTTTCGCTTAATATTGTTTTATTTCCAGAAGCGCTTATGGTACAAGATTTCTGTAACTTTTGCTGCTCTCATTATGAAATCACTGCGAAAATCTTTTATGAGACAAACTTCGTCAGTTTATCCACTGATGATTCGAATTGGCGGTAAATAGAACGAAAGGAACCTTCTTTGCATGAACATGTTAAGTTTTAATTAATATGCAATCATTTATGCGCATCTCAAAATATACCTCATTCACTTTCTGGGAAAGTTAAGATACGCAATACTTCTAAACAGCTAAATCTGCGCGTAAATTTAAAAACTCTACTTGAATACATTCTTTTGTTGCTAAAATATCTTCTATAGCCAACGCACATAAGAAAAAAGTGTCCCAGAACGAGTTGCAACCAGAGTTGGAATGTTGGAGCAGAGCTTTTTCAAAGTTACAAAAATATTAGAGATACCTTTTGAATTATACACCAAAGAGAAATTTAGGTTAGCACATAGATTTCACGTTAATCCAACACCTAAGTTGAATTCAAGGAAAACAGGCACTCTATATATCCACTATCTTATCTTAAAAAGAATGCAATGGTAGAAGTGACAAAATGACGATTAAATAACCGCCCAGAACATAGCATTTATAAATTTTAAGTCCGACTCGAACATTGGTACAAGTGTCTGGTGAAAGACACATTTGGTTGGTTAAAGTAGTTTTGTTTCAGAAAATACGAACCGAACGTAATGGTTCGTACCTGAAAAGCAAGTACATTAGTAAATATCCCCCCCTCCCCCCCCTTATGGATCAAGTGGTACCACGAATCAAGGAAATGTGTAATGTCTTATTCCGTGAGTACTGCCTATATTAAGAAATAATCAAAATATTAATAATTAAAAACACAGAGGTAATATACAACCAAATAAAACAATAACCTTAAAAAGCAGAAAACATTTTAAAATTTGCAAACCATCTTTCGACATTTTTCATGTCATGCTCAGGTCACATTAAAAAACAAATAGCAATAATAACAATTAATAGGTTCAGTCTTCCCCGCATATTATCAATATGTATCAATATATAGCATCAAATATTGTTGAAGATATGTTTCCATCATTCGACTCAGAAACTCATTAACAGGTCCTTGTGCCTGCAAAGTAACACTCAAGTGTAATTGCACGCTTAAATTGTCCGTTAATAAGACCTTTCATTGTAAAATAATGGCGTTTCTTTTACAAGCTGTCTGATACAGACAAACGATATTACGCCTATATTATAGACAACAAGTTTTGAGAGGGCCCAAATAAAATAATTCCTGTCGAGTCAAAGTGTTCATTAATACCACGGATGTGCGCAAGGAACTCTTTTGACCATGTAAAATATCTAATGTGTAATGCTGTGCAATGAAACGGATTCCCTAAAAATATTTTCCAAAATTCAGTCAAAGCAAATATTCATGTTTAACATGAAATATGGGCTAATTTTTCCATAATATGGCAAAGGAGTTACCCTAACCCAAAGAAATAGTGGTTTCAACACCATTATTGAAGTCTCAGGGCACGAACGTTTTCGTGCAGCAAGTACTCCGAGACTGTAACAAAAAATTATGTTATCAATATTCTTTACCCGCATTGACAAATTTTTCCCTACCGTGTTTATAATTATCATTTAAATGCCTTCTAGTTATATCAAATATGCTAAATAAGTAGGGACTATAAATTAAAAAATACCTCTGTTACACAAATATGAAAATATTAGTTGGTATAAAATTTCTAAAACGTGCGTGCAAGATTGTGAGTACATCTTAACAATGAGATGTAGAAAACCGTTGAAACTGTTCCATTTGGAAAATTTCTATTTCACCTAACTGCTAAAAGTGTTTAACTGGAAAGGGGGCATAATTGCACGTTAAGGGAAAAATATATCAATAATAATTGTCACAAAAGAACTATTATTGATAATACATGCTTATCCATCATTACGGTTTTAAGGGAGATATGGCATTTTCAGTCACTGAAATTATCATAATACTTAATTTCATAGAAAGGCACCGTTAATTAAAGATCCTGGTAAAGTGTTGGGGTGTCACTAGTCATTGACTACTGAACATGAAAGAAGGATGAATAAAAAAAGAAAACCACATACATACATTTAATAGAAAAAGAAGACGCACAAGTAACAAACCTGAAAGGTGACCTCGACTTACACTCAAATTTGAGTTATAACAGGATCAATTAGAGAAGTACAAGAAGAATCACCATTTCGCTTTCGTAACTGCACAACAAACCTTTCAGGTTTGATTTTTTTTTTTTTCAGGTCTGATTTTCGCGATTGCTTAAATAGCGCTATCTACTGCGAGGATCGTGCATCATACAAACCTTTCAGGATTATTACTCATGACACTTTGAGTGTCAAATCATCCCTCCCCTCCCCTCCTCTCCTCTCCTTTCCCCAGCCCCCGTCCAAAAAACTCTCTATACATACATTTATATTTTCAATTTCCTTTTCAAGGAAAAATACACAAATCCCTTTAGCCTTAAGTAGGAAATTGACCAGTAAAAAATGAGAAACAATTTACAAAACATCACGAGGGTTAAAAAGAGTAAGAAGGGGGCATTTTTTTAAAAAAGTAATCACCAACAGTTATAAAAAAGCTTGTTTAAATCTTAATTATTATCTATGATCGCTATGGTTTTCACACCCAACTGATAATAGTCTACCATCATTATCAATGACTCATTTAAGAGACCCAGAGAATAAAGAGATATATACAAAGGTTACACCTCCTTCCTATCTACATGAAGAGAGTTGTAACCTACAGAATGGTTTCTGACCTTTCTTCTTTCCAAGTACAAAAATGAGTTTTTTTTTTTTAGCTCGAAGTAGCTACCAGACGCTTTAGAGACAAAGTAAAGCATAGCAAAGCGCCTTAGTAAAGCAATGTTAGTCTCAAAATAACTTAAGTAAAACAAATATGAATAGGTCATCTAAGAGCAACACACTGATGGCTGTAAAAGAAATGCGATTGAAAAGCAAGTAGGAAATAGTGCAACGTTAACGTGCTCCGGGTTAAAAAAAAAAAAAAAAAATACAAAAGATGCTCTACATCTATAATATAGAAACGGTGTTTAGTGTTAATTTCATAACCACAAATGAATGTCCTAACACTGTTATTTATATGCAATTATCCCAATCGCGATCATTATAGAACCTGGGAACAAATGACATCAAGCAGAGAAAAGGCATGCATTAACACAAAACCCATGTTGTAACCCTGTCCCACGAGTACAATACCGATTTTTCTACGAATAGTACTGTCAAGGCTGCAATGTAAAAGCGATGAGAATAGCAGGAATGGAAGAATGCTCGAAATCATTTTATGGTTTGAGCAAATAACAGTAACGCACATAACAATTCGGTCTCCAAAACAACAGAATTAGAGCACCAGCGAAGTAAACCTTTCATGCCCACAAATGAATCAACTAAAACTATCATTTATATAACATTGGAAAAGTTAATAGGTTTAAGATGCCAATAAAAGAAGCCAGTAGCCCACATCAAAAGGCGTACCTCGCTTTATACTTCAAACGGTTAATGAAATAATTGTTTAAAATAATTATTTGTCTCTGCGGTGCGTTACTTCATTTCTTAAATTACTTAAATATATTAAACCATGTTGGCCTTTTGGGAAGAATAAGAAGGTTTACGCCTCAAAATTACATATAGGGATTTCAAGCAAACTGTTCAAGAAACCAAATAGAGATATTATAGTTGATAGAGCAACACACTAAATTAAACTTGTACCACCATCAAGTACATAATGGCAATAAACCTTCCCTGTTTTCTTTAATTCAATAATTCTTTTTATGTCCTTCTACAGAAACGTAACGATCCATTCTACCATGCAGCCTTGACATAACACGTGGATCAAATCAATTAGTTACTTATGAAATATTTGTAAAAACCTGGCTTTCTCCATGTGGCTCCAACGGTGTAATTCTTAGGTGAGTCTATTTCATCCAACATTAGTGGTTGTATTATAAATATCCACATCCTCAGAAGAAACATAGAGCACATTTCCAAGGCCCCATCTTGCTGTATCACTTCAAGCCATAGTGTCGTCTATGCAAATGTATTCTCTTGAAACTTGGCTTTCAACAGTTTGAACTTTAGTCTTTTTTAACTATCACATCTGTCTCGAAACTGTACACGTAATAAAAAATCTTCCAAAGGGGATGAAACATTAAACCACACGGTACAACACGTACAACATAAAGCCTGGCAAAAAAATTCAAACAACTTATCTGTACACATTAATAACGCCAATTTTTAAATACATACTTGGAGCTTCAAAACCAGCCCAACGAAGTAGTAGTCGCTCAAAACTGTTCCATTATATTATAAAGTACTGTATTCTGTTTAGTCAGTAACGGTTTGTGAACCATTCAGTGCCTTCAAAAAAAAAAATGATAACGAGTACTCATCTAATCCTCTTTTCCTTTAAAAATATAGTGTGTGATAGTATAGCTACAGATATATATTTAGTACATACTAAAACAGTGGATAGCGTTGAAGGCGCGTTCTGATTGGCTACTCATACTCCGAATAACCTTTTCTATTCAACTTCCAGGAACGTATGCGGGACTTGCACCCAGAAAATGTTATAATCGTTGTAGGGAATGATGAGTTGAAATCACCTTTTAGCGATAATATCTCACTTTTTAAGTATATACTAAAACAACTGTTCACCTTAGTGTTGGTGGCTAACGGTGGATATTTACTATCAGTGGCCACCTCCACTTCGGTAAATAGTTGCTAAATATATATATTAAATTAAAATTGTAGGAGCAGCAGATCAATTTTGCAACTATTACGACGCAAAACGAAAGTTATAAACGAATAAGCGCTTTAGAGTCAACTAGTTGAAAAAAGCGAGCTCTTCAAAGCAATTTTTCAGCGAGTGTGACTGTGTAAGAGTTACATCTTTAAGTTTGATTTTGAAAATTAAAGCAAATAGCTGGAGCTGAGAAAATCAAAATTTCCGCAAGTGCAAACACCACCGAACTAATTCAACTAAAAATGCCTAAATTAGTTTGCACAGAAAGGTAGCTTTTTGCTTCATCAAAACAAAGCATTTCCATTACGAAAGTTAATTAAAAGCAAGAAGCTGGCAGTAGTTGCTGTTTTTGTAGGTTTACTCCTGCCGTATTTATTAAAAATTAAACAATATGGTTTATAGGTCCCACTCAGTAAAACACCGGAACTGTTTGAACCAAACGCTTCTTTAGCAGGAAGTTCAAGTCTAGCTGCACTTAATGTTTGTATCCCTCGCAGTTCCTAAGGCATCAGTTATATCCAAAATAGAAATACCAATTTGAAACTGAATCGATATGACTTGTTTGTGTAAAGTCACTTGATCAACATTATCTAGACAACAATGATCATGTCAGATCCTGAACGAAAGTAAAACTCTTGCATGATTTCAACTTATTGGAAAGAGAGAAAACTGTTTCAAATTGGAAGACTCTTCTGTAAAACATCTTAAAACATAAAACAGTAAAACTCTAAGACTCCTTTTTAAACCTTTCAATTCTGGTACATCGTGAGTTTCATACTCAATATGCTGAACTTTAAACACCTCAACTCGAAACTAAAAAATGCCATAGTTGTTTAAAGTAGACATTCCCCCTTTTGACTGCACCCTTTTGGTTGTACTGCTTATAATCTTTGATTTTCTCTCCATCTATGATAAATTTTCTTAAAGCCAGATGGCTAAAAACTTCTCACTACAGCTACAATAGAAAGGTAGGGAAGTAGCTACTCTTGAAAATATTTTGCTATAATGAATTAGATAAAAGCAACCGGCTATCACATGTGATAACCTAATAATGAGCCTTGCATGTATAGCTGTATATTTATCTTAATAAACTTTGTCATTTCAGTGCTAAGTAATGAGTATATCAACAAAGCAAATGCTCATTAGAGCTTACTTTCCTAGAAAATTGCATACTAATCATTTATCTGATGAAGAATCACAACGTTCCCAGAACAGGCTCTTTTGCTGGTGAGATTATTACGTTTAGATTTATCCTACATCAATTTCAGAGTTTCTTCTGAAGCCAGGCTTTATGGACAGACAGTAGCACAACAGAACAACGAAAACAACACTACATAAGAGGGAGCAGACTACAAAGTGCAAATCCTTGTGCAAAATGTTTTAAAAATCAGAGGAAGTCAACGGTAACTTGGCTGTCATCGACTACAGTCCTGGAGAAAAAAATTATTAAAAAAAAAAATGGGGTGTTAAATGAGTATTAGGCCTTGGTGAACACAACACACTATGCAGACCTATTATCTCATTCTCAATATGTTGAAACATTTCAATTGATAAAAACTAGTGAAAACAAACTGTACCTATGAAATTTTCGTCGGCAGGCCAGGGCATGCTCATTCTTCTCAAAAGTCACCAGTGCTTTATGCTTTGTCGTGGACATTTTTAGTTGCTGTTGAGATAAAAATGTCGTATTCAACTAACAGCTACACACACAAAAAAAATTGTAATCCTCATTTTTCAGGACTACTCTCTCCCTTATGTTACCCCCGATTTCAAACCACTTACTGAAAAAGTGTTTCATAAACTGCGTAATCCTCATTTTTCATAAAAATTGTAATCCTCATGTTTCATAAAAATTGTAATCCTCATTTTTCAGGACTACTCTCTCCCTTATGTTACCCCCGATTTCAAACCACTTACTGAAAAAGTGTTTCATAAACTGCGTAATCCTCATTTTTCATAAAAATTGTAATCCTCATGTTTCATAAAAATTGTAATCCTCATTTTTCAGGACTACTCTCTCCCTTATGTTACCCCCGATTTCAAACCACTTACCGAAAAAGTGTTTCATAAAATGCGTAGACTGAAATTCATAACAATTTGATTTAGTTCACGAATGATGCAATCTATTGTTCTTGTTAGTCTTCTATTGAATCTCAACAACGGAATAACGTTTAGATATAACAAAAAATTCTCTGGACTGGCCTTCAAAGAAATCTGCTATCATTTGTTAGAGGAATTAGTCTTTTGATCTTGACGACTCATTTTGTACCTGAATAGGGCCAATTCCCTGCAGAAGCTCCTTTAGCCTGCTTGGTGTTATCGCTTCCGGCAAAGAACCAATCACAACACGATTTGAAGGCTTCCCACTGCTTGAAGCCTTGGTTACGACCACACGGTTGGCTTTAGAGTCTGTAGTGGAACCAGATGTTTTGCTCTTGCTTTCAGTAGGTCCAACAACGATCCGCTGTAAAATGAACAGGTTGAATTTCGCATTTATTTAGGAAAGATTACATTACAAATTTTCTCCCACGTTTTCTGGTTTGAATCATTCGTACCCAGTCTTCGCCCAGTCTTCGATCCGAGACTTCGGAGGATGGGTGTAGCCTCATTTCCGACCAGCAGCTGGTAATCGAGCCTTGTTCAGATTGGGCTTTATACTTTTACGGAAAGAAACTGAATACGTAACTACAGTAAAAAATGGCTCAATCGTTTTTTTGTTGTCTCGTTTTTCTTGTGTTTACAGCGCCACTACCTATACCATTCACATGCTTGGAGAAAAAACTCAAAATTGGACGCAGTTCATTGCCCTTGCCCAATGGGATTGTTCAGGTTTTAGTGAGCTTGTAGCAGAAGGGGCACTGTAAAATGCAACTAGTCGGGAAGCAAACATATGAAGTTTTAGATGATATTCACACTGAGTTTGCGTCCATTGAAATATAATCGATATTGTGTGAAATTTGAAAAAAACGTGTTTGTAATTAATAAGAAAGATGAGCAATCTATCACAAAGTAGAGATAATCAATACAATAGACAAATAAAATAAAATAAAGGCATAACCACATGGTTAACCCTTTACACTCGACATCAGTCTGTAAATTCTCTATACTGTTCTTCAGATATTTCCCAAGATGCTGACAAGGAGAATTTGTTTAACAACCAAAAACTTGTTTAGTTTATGATCATTTCTTTTTATTTTTGTGACCTAAATGTGTGATTCAGTGGTGATAATGTAAAGAGGAATTAAGTGCTTGTCACTTTTAAGGGTCGAAGGGTAAAGTCTGCCCACCAACCTTTGAAGAACTATTTTCAGAATGCCTAGCCTCCCTGCTCTCTCGTCTGTGCGATGATCGCTCTCGACTTCGACTTCTTCGATGACCTTCCTTTGGCTTCTCTCTATCCCTTGGTCTGTCCCGCTCCCTTTCTTTCGCCTTCTCGCGATCTCCTCTGTCCCTCTCTCGCTCTCTCTCCCGAGGCCTGTCATGACGCGGTTCTCGAGGTTCTCTTTGATCATGTGATTCCCTCTCCCTAGGCTTCTCGCGGTCATTCCTCTCACGATTCCGGTAACCATCTCTGCTCCTGTCGGGGCGCTCTCTGCCATACGTTACAAACAGGAAACGATGAGAAACGAACCATTTACTGATTCACCCACCTTTAAGTGAAAACTGAGTATAGATTTTTACCTCGAGAGGAAAGGTAAATTACAAACCTTGTTCTGTCTCTGTCTCTCTCTCTTTCATGACCCCTGTCGGGCCGTTCTTTCTCCCGTTCCCTGCGACTGTCCACCCTCCTCGGGTGAGGTCCTGGTTTAGCTGTGCGAACAACTGGAGATCTTGGTTGCGGAGTACGCGGTGAGACAGATCTTGAGAATGACCTTGACCTTGACGATGACCTGAAAGAAAACCAGTGCCAACAAGAAAATTATGTCATCATTGCCGATGAAAGCTCAAATTGAAAATAAAAGAAGTGCTTNGAAGGGTAAAGTCTGCCCACCAACCTTTGAAGAACTATTTTCAGAATGCCTAGCCTCCCTGCTCTCTCTTTTAAGGGTCGAAGGGTAAAGTCTGCCCACCAACCTTTGAAGAACTATTTTCAGAATGCCTAGCCTCCCTGCTCTCTCTTTTAAGGGTCGAAGGGTAAAGTCTGCCCACCAACCTTTGAAGAACTATTTTCAGAATGCCTAGCCTCCCTGCTCTCTCTTTTAAGGGTCGAAGGGTAAAGTCTGCCCACCAACCTTTGAAGAACTATTTTCAGAATGCCTAGCCTCCCTGCTCTCTCTTTTAAGGGTCGAAGGGTAAAGTCTGCCCACCAACCTTTGAAGAACTATTTTCAGAATGCCTAGCCTCCCTGCTCTCTCTTTTAAGGGTCGAAGGGTAAAGTCTGCCCACCAACCTTTGAAGAACTATTTTCAGAATGCCTAGCCTCCCTGCTCTCTCTTTTAAGGGTCGAAGGGTAAAGTCTGCCCACCAACCTTTGAAGAACTATTTTCAGAATGCCTAGCCTCCCTGCTCTCTCTTTTAAGGGTCGAAGGGTAAAGTCTGCCCACCAACCTTTGAAGAACTATTTTCAGAATGCCTAGCCTCCCTGCTCTCTCTTTTAAGGGTCGAAGGGTAAAGTCTGCCCACCAACCTTTGAAGAACTATTTTCAGAATGCCTAGCCTCCCTGCTCTCTCTTTTAAGGGTCGAAGGGTAAAGTCTGCCCACCAACCTTTGAAGAACTATTTTCAGAATGCCTAGCCTCCCTGCTCTCTCTTTTAAGGGTCGAAGGGTAAAGTCTGCCCACCAACCTTTGAAGAACTATTTTCAGAATGCCTAGCCTCCCTGCTCTCTCTTTTAAGGGTCGAAGGGTAAAGTCTGCCCACCAACCTTTGAAGAACTATTTTCAGAATGCCTAGCCTCCCTGCTCTCTCGTCTGTGCGATGATCGCTCTCGACTTCGACTTCTTCGATGACCTTCCTTTGGCTTCTCTCTATCCCTTGGTCTGTCCCGCTCCCTTTCTTTCGCCTTCTCGCGATCTCCTCTGTCCCTCTCTCGCTCTCTCTCCCGAGGCCTGTCATGACGCGGTTCTCGAGGTTCTCTTTGATCATGTGATTCCCTCTCCCTAGGCTTCTCGCGGTCATTCCTCTCACGATTCCGGTAACCATCTCTGCTCCTGTCGGGGCGCTCTCTGCCATACGTTACAAACAGGAAACGATGAGAAACGAACCATTTACTGATTCACCCACCTTTAAGTGAAAACTGAGTATAGATTTTTACCTCGAGAGGAAAGGTAAATTACAAACCTTGTTCTGTCTCTGTCTCTCTCTCTTTCATGACCCCTGTCGGGCCGTTCTTTCTCCCGTTCCCTGCGACTGTCCACCCTCCTCGGGTGAGGTCCTGGTTTAGCTGTGCGAACAACTGGAGATCTTGGTTGCGGAGTACGCGGTGAGACAGATCTTGAGAATGACCTTGACCTTGACGATGACCTGAAAGAAAACCAGTGCCAACAAGAAAATTATGTCATCATTGCCGATGAAAGCTCAAATTGAAAATAAAAGAAGTGCTTTAAACGCGGGCAAACGCGAACAACCAAGTTGTGATTGTTTTGAATTTTACGTCTGATCGGTTGAGAAGATGACGCGAGTTTCCTTAACCAATCACAGAGCAACGTTTGGCTAGACGAAAGCAATCTCGACATTTCATTTCTTGACACTCCATTAAAATTGCTCTATGCCGTTTTTTTTGTTCACGAAGTAAAGGACAAGTTTTTCACTGTTAATTTGGTTATGATGGCATTTAATTCACAAATCACTGATTACCTAGACCTTGACCGGGACAGTGATAAAGAACGTGAACGAGTCCAAGATCTTGCTGGTGACCTGGAATAAGAACGTGAAGCTGATCTTGATGCTGATCTTGATGCACTGCTGAAGTCACTTTCCGCACTGTCAGCACTATAACGCCGATGATGCTTCTTTGATTTGTGACTCTGGGAAAACAAGTTTAGAAAATGTAAACAACCTTTGCCCCTACGAGCACAGTGTTATCCTTTTCAGTGTGTAACCTGTAGAACCTTATAACCACCTAAAATCACTTGAAATTCTTGAAAATTAAACAGGTAAAAGGATTGCTTTACCTTTTTGAAAATTTCTTTCGCTTGTGGTGCTTAAAATAAAGAACCACACTGCGAGTAGGTTCTTATGTCTTGCATGTTCAAACGTCTTGACTTTTGATATGACCGGTCGTAACGCGATGAATATTCACCGCGAATTTTCAAGTCACGGTTTTCTAAGTTTCATACGAAATCCACAACTTCCTATGGCTTGGTTGATCGTGTATATATATCTTATTAGAAGTTTTGTTCTGTCGTATCGCTGAGTACTTTGACGAGTTGTGCCCTATTTTAACGATGTCGAGATAATGTTAAGTTTAAGCCGCATTGATTTGTTTGTTTATGCCGAATCGTAAGATTAGTCAGGCATCCCTAGCTAGCATAGCCGCGGAGGCCGGGAACTGAAGAGAAAAAATCATTATGGGATGAGAAAAAAATGCACATGATGAGAGAGTTGGTGAACTTAGTGGAGTCGAAATAAAATTGTTCAGTTTATTCAATAGCCCTTACCGCATTTGTGCCTGCAACGCAAAGGGTCCGCGGAAAGTGAGTCGTGAGTATATTATCAGAGGAAGCATTTCCGACAACGAGCCCGCAGGGCGAGTCAAAATACAAATAACGAGTAAAATACTCTGCGATACAATACACCAAAATGTCTAATAAGTTATTTATTATCCAACACGCCAAATTGTTATTTCAGTGCGGGTGAATTTCGCGGATATTTATTTATGGAAAGTGTGTGGCAGAAGTATGCGAAGCGGAACGGAATTGGCGTGTTTTCATGTTGCTGTTTCCAATTTCATTGTCACCTAACTACTTTTCTTCGTTCGATTTATCTGAAAAGTAATTTAGATTGTCCACCAATTTTTTTTTGTAACATCAATCCAATTCGTCGCTTGCGAGATGCGAGAAAACCTGTCTTACCGGTTCTCTGGAGTACAAATACGGCGTGATATTTGTACTCGTCTTAGGCGTTATTTGTGCTCTACGGAGTGTAGTTGGATAATGATGAGTTACTGTTATACATTCATCTTTAAACTTCACCTTGGTGTGCTTATCAAGACCATATGCTGCTGCAGCATAAGCTGCATCTCTCTGCTGCATCAACTGCTGCCACTCGGCTCCATACATGGCCGTATAATCATATGGATACTGCTGTCCATAAGGAAACTGTTGGTGTCTTGCAGCTGCTGCCGCCGCTGCTGCAGCAGCTAAACCAGCTCCTTGAGCTGCAGCCATAGCTGCTGCTGTACTGTAACCAGGTGGTGGCATTCCTCCTCGTATTGCAGTATTGGCGACATCCATATTAGACACTGTCACGCGATTTCCTATCACAATCCGTTCTGGTTCAGACATAGGTATCTCTGGATGTTGGTTCATTACTGGTGGTCGCATCGTTGACTGTAAAGCACCTGGATGTACTTGGCCTCCTGGAGGTAATCCTGTTGGTGGCATTCCTTGTGTGGGACCCCTTGGTGGCATAGCTGGGTGTTGCTGCCCCGGTAAGGGGCTAGGTCCACCTGGTGCACTGGCATGTGCAACTGCGCCTAGACTTCCTGGCGTTGGGGCACGCCCTGGTAAAGGACCATGTGGTGGAACCATATTTGGTGCTCCTTGGGGAGCCCCCTTAAAATTGAAAAAGAAAATCGCTGTTCACTTTTCGCATGAAATTTTGACATCACTGCAATTTAGTTAAAGTTTCTATTAATGTCAGTTGAATTAATCATTAGTCATTCCATTCTTCGCAATTTTGCAACGTCAGGCAATAGAACTTCTAGAATTCAAACACTTAATAAGTAAGATATTTTGGGTGATAAGATCCTTATCGTTCCCTTGCCATACGTGGAGTTAGGTTATTTTTGCAACAAGTCAACTTAACAACTGTCAAGTTTGATGCAATTCTAGACGCTCTCAAAGTCAATCATGAGTTGACTCAAAGAATCTGTATAAACCTAATGGCCAGAGGTAACTTACCCTGGGTTGTGACAATGCATTTGCACCAGGTCCCATTGCATGGGGTGGCCTCATGTCACTCTCAAGGATTGGACCAGATCTTGGCCCATGACCCTGTCCAGGACCTTGCATGTGACCTGGTCCACCTGGGCCCATTGGCCTTTGTGCTGGTACTGGGTCATGTCCCATGCCTGGCCTGGGTCCTTGCTCTGGACCCATATGTGGCCCTCTGGCTGGAAGAGGTCCACGGGGTCCAAAATCTCCAGTGGGGCCAGGTGGGAGAGTAGCCTCTGGACGCATGGGACCAGGGTGAGGAGCTGCCATATGGGGTCCTGGCATGTCAGGTCTTAAAGGACCAAGGTGTGGTCCTCGCATGGGAGGCGGACCTTCAATATCAAAACCAAAGTACTGCATTTACTTGCTATAAATTTACGAGATGTCACAACGAAGGACCACGTCGTAATTCCTTGTGACCTCATGATTTACATGTCACTCTTAACACACAGGTCAAACACCCAGAGGAAAGGAAAACAAGTTTCCACAAGAAAGTGAACATTTCTTAATGCGTGCAATTAGAGAGCAGTTTTCGTAAATTCAATTGAACAAACTCTAAGTTCTAATGTCAGAATATATTTCTCCCTTGAAGCTCAAAATTAAATACATTGTCCTGAAGACAACAAAAGAATTTACAAAAGAAATAGAAAAAAAATCAAAAATGTCGTATTCTTTCTAGAAACTGCCACACAATCCCTTCTCCATTAGCAATGACAACTTGTTGAAAGGTTTGTCAATTCTTCTACACGGTTTGCTCGATAATTTAAGATAGGATATTGCAAGAGGTTACAAGTTCATCATGTTAGTGAGAAAAATATTTCGAATATATCTCACCCTCTGGCATTCCTCTCCCCCCCGGGGGAGGTCTGAAGTGTGGGTTGATGTGAATATTCTTTCCTTGTGGTGGCCCTGGTGAGAAAAAGCATTTCTCTCAATTCCTTGCTGACATTCTGAACTATATGTACCCTAGATGTCGGAGTAGACTACAACCATAAACACTGAGAGAAGAATTTATCCCCTGGACTATTGGGGAAGAAGAATTATGAATTGCTATTGTAAGTTCACAAATAAGCACCCCCCCCCCCACCACCCCCTTTGATTAAGAACCCTTTTGAAAAAAGCACCCTTTCCGTAAGCCAAGCTATGAAATAAGAACCCCACTCTAGGACAAGCCACTTTTATGAAAAGAGACTGAGACAGCAAACGATATCGATTTTTACATCATACCATACTTGATTCAGCAGGGAAAGAGATATATAACTGGGATATGTCTATGAGCACAACTTTGCAGCTGTCAAAACGTTCATGATCAGCTCCCTCTGAATATTAATACAAGTTTTAAGTTATTGTTCTTGTGCACATGCTACATTACAGAAAATTATTATTTGTGAACCTTGTCACCATTTGGGGAAGATGTAAAATGGACTCCTAAAATATGCAACATGTATCCCAACTCTGTGATAAGTACTTGGGTGTTATTGATGGGATTCGCAGGGGGGATAAAAAGTAAAAGGAAGAGTGATAGCTCTCTAGTGGGTTGAACCATGTTCTAGTAAACCTTCAAACTCAAGGCGGAAGAGGCACACTGCACATCTTCCATGTCTATCCAAGTCAACACTTAAGGCACTGATTTCATACTAAACTTGACCTTCATTTGGCAACTGACTTAAGAAATTAAAAATTGACAACAACAAAAAGAAAATTGTTTGAAAGAGAAAATCAATAATGATAGCTTTCATACTTGGTGGGGGAAAGGCTCCATGCCCATCTGGGGGTCCTGGCATGTGACCAGGAATTGGTCCACTAGGTCCAGGTGGAAAGCGTGGTCTAGGACCAGGACCATGGTCTGGTCCTAGTCCATGGCCTGGCCCCATGCCAGGTCTGGGGCCATGCATGAAAGGATCTGGCCCTCTTGGTGGAAAAGGAGGGTGCATTCCTGGCCGAACCATTCCAGGTGGAGGAGGTCCCCTGAAATAATGAACAACAAAGGGCTCTACCATTCACTCTTCTTCTCACAACATCAATCCATTTTCAAGCAGAATGGCAATGAGATAAAAGGAAAATATAACTCATAGCATACTTTATGTTATAATCCATCAAATATTTTTCCTTGCACACAATTGGTTGAAATGCATGATGTGACTGAAGCTCACAGTTTTCCTTGAGCTTTGCCCTTGGAAAACTGTGAAAAACTGAAAAATTCTGTGTGTTATAAATACCTACATCATTGGCCCTCCTCTGCCGCGGCCACGCCCAACATCTCTCCTGTTCCAGTTTCTGTCATCGTGCTTTTTGAAGTCTCTCTCTGGGGAAAATAGAAAAAGAAATTAAGCTGCATCTTGTATAACAGTTGAAAATAAATACTTCAGAAGTGACTGCTGACCAGATTCTTCTGAAAGTATCAATACATTAACAAGCAAACAGGTGATGAGAGTAGAAAATTCAAAACCAACAACTAGGGGATACGCCAAATTCTCAGAATCAGCATTACACAAGGTGTATGGATGAAATTATGGTGAATTAATCTCGATGTCTCGAGTGGTAAGGGGTTCATAATGGTTCTTTAATCTTTTTCTCAGTTCTCTCTTTTAGACAACCTACATTCAAAGGAAACAAATACAGAGAGGGTAAAGGTAAAAGGGGAGGGGGGAATTTCCTCTCCTCAAACCAACCCTACCCACTGTGCTACTGTATTGCATTGTAAATGAATGAATGGGGGATATGAATTAATGAATGGGGGATATAAATTTCACACTTGCAGATCGGCACTGCTACATTACCATGTCTTTTGTTGTGGAACATAATGGCACACAAAGCAAGTTACGGCAATGAATAACAATAGCAAACACACTTTATCTAGAGATGTTTTCACGCTAGAATCTTTATAGAAGCAGACCCCTCAGATGAGCATAAAGGACTAATCTACAATGTCACAGTCCCCTTATCTTTGAGCTGCATTGTAAGAGTATGACATCACATCTTCATGACCCCATGTCTTTTGCTTTTCCTTCTGTCATCTCCTATACCTCTACTACCCATCATACTTCACTGCTCTACTCCACCCCACTGCCACCTGTGCCCATTAACCTTTTAGACCCTAACATCAGTATGCCTATTCTCCATACTGTTCTCAATAAATTTCTTAAGGAGCTGATGAGGAGAGTTTGTTTAATAATCAAGAGCTTCTTTAGTTGATGATCATTTCCCTTTTTCTCATGACCTTCGTGTTTGATACACGTGTGATATTGTAAGGAGTAATTAGATGCTAGTCACTCTTACGAGGTTAGTGTAATTGTTACACGTCTATTGCAATTTTTCTTCCTTTTTCTACTCCCACAGGTGCTCCTGAATGAAAGTTCTACTTTAATATAAAACCACAGTCACTTTTTATAGCGGGGCTCCCATGCTTTGCGCGCATGGGGCAGAGCCCCATACCCGTGGAATATGGTCAACCTCTTTTCGTTTGGTTGTCACGTAACTGACCGAGTGTATGAATGTGCTTTCAGATTGCATGGGTAGGGTAGGGGAGACTATCAAAACGAAGGGAGGGGTGTCTCAGGCAAGTCTTGGCAAATGCACATCTTTTATGTTATCATTAATGTTATGTACTTGGGAGCTCTGCTTTTAGGTCTGGCAAAATCTATATATTACTAATTCCACATACTTTGCTCGTGTTTTTCAATCTTGTATTGTGCCTCTTTTGGTCGCTCAGACTTAAAACGCTGTCTGTCCTTCTTTCCTTCATCCTCGCTATCACTATCATTCTTGATCTCTTTTTTGACTGGTGTGACTTGCTCTTTTTTAACTTCTTCTACAATCAAATGTTAAAAAGTCCAGTCAGTTTGATAAGAGTTTCAAGCCAGTAAGAATAAAAGATAGAATGGTTTACTCAATTCCTTAATAGCAGCATGGACTGAATTGCTAAGGTTTACAATGTTATTAAGGTTGAGATGAGATGTCAGCATTATCAGGTGCCTCTGGCAGCTGCTTTAGTCCATGTAACGATCTTACCTACCCACCCATCCCATCCAAGGGGAGGACATCCACCACACAGTAATCTCATGTGTGGGAAATTAATGTCTCCTACCCCTAACCCGGAAGGTGACGGGGCCTACCGTTTATTTGTCCTTATCCGAGAAGACTAGAATATCTATCCATTTCTTGATATTATAGAAAGGTAGCACACTCCCCTCAGTTATTGTATGAACCTGACTGTTGGTCTGGCCGGGGCTTGAACCCTCAACCTCCCACACAACAGTCCAGTGCTCTACAAATTGAGCTAACCATTAAAATAACTTTCCAATTGCAGACTGACAAAGGCTACTCCACTCTCACTGATATCAACGTGTCGGCGAGATTCACCAATCAGTTATCATGAACCAAAACTATAACATTCAAGCGAAAAACCATTCTTTCTTTGACTATGACAATCATTCAAGTTGTTGAAATGCTAGTTGCTGATTGCTAGAAACAGGTCTTTTTGCAACGTTCCTAACTTGAATGATTGCAAAAGACAATCAATGTACCCAGATATTTTAAATGTGAAATTACATGAATTAAACCAGAAGTAACAAAGGACATAACAGGGACCTTAAGCAACCACGGCGGCGACGGCAACGAGGACGTGGAAAAACAAGGGATCTAATTGGTAGAACAATAGCTCAGCACGTGCGTTTTGAAACTTTGTACATTTCTTAGCTGTCCTATGCAAAACAACAACGTGAAATCGCCAAAATTTGCGTCGTCTGCGAACCGAAACCGCTAGGGCAAATTAATTTAATTTCCATTTGGAACTCAATGATACTTCTATAAGTCATGCTGAAGTTGAGCTTTGGCGCCTTACGAGATAGTAAGCTCATGCAGTAATGTTTGAAATTCTGACTAAGAGTGGAAATTCATTTTTTAATCGAAGTCTTCCTTGGCGTCGCCGTCCTGACTGTTTAAGGTCCCTAACAGTTCAAAGGATATATCAACCTGTATCATGGACATGATCAGTTACATCTACATTACATTTGCAACAACATGTCTGCACCTTTTGAATTTGTCTTCTTACTGCTATCAGCTGCTCCTTCAGACAAGCCTTTGATCTCTTTATCAATATCATCCAGTTCATCATCACCATGGATACTAACAGCATCCAAGTCAACATTATTTGCCCTGTGAAATTGGGGGCCAAGAAAAGTAATCAGTGGTGACTCTATTGGACTACCACTTAGGCAACAATAATAAAATGAGGGGAAAATAAACCAGCTAGAATGACCACCTTCAAACACGATTACAAGTAATAAGCAGAAAAAAAAGGAAAGCAACAGCCATGTGATAGCATGGGTATAAACTGAGCGAGTTCATCACAAGCGCATTTGAAATCTGAACACAACAACTTGAGACACAATTGATGGGACTTCCTGTTCAGCAACCATAATTGTAAAAAATACTAGAGAGTAGGGATTTCTTCAATAGCATTTGAATTTGATCTGACTTGATTTTTTACTTGTGATCTAAAGAAACTGTCCAGTGATCTGAAATTTTGAGAGGTCATTTACGAGAGTTTGTTCTAAACAGCAAACATTTTGTTCATTACTTTACACTAAAAAACCAAATAAACAAGATGCAGATAATTCTCAAATAGTTCAACATTAATAACCTGAAATAAACACAACAATGTTCAATGGTAACTTACCCTTCGCCTTCATCATCACTCTTTAACAACTTTTCCTACACAGTGGAGGGTGAAAAAAGCAGGAAAAAAAACCTCAAAACTTCTAGTTACACTAGAGGATAAACAGAACAACGTCTACCCCAAAGGATTTGGAGCGTTATTTTCATGGGCAAGAACTGGAGTTAATGGGATAGTTCTCTTGGAGCATGTACAAACATTATTAAAGCATGGTTATAATTTGAATGCATGTTAATTGTGCAAGCAGTAGTGTAACCGTCGATAATAAATACTGTCCTGAAGATTAAAAACGCTCGGCCTCGTAGAATTGTTTGTACCTTTAATCACTCCTTTGGTTCCTTGTTACATCGCCCTCCATTTCCGTTTAGTCTTTCCGTTCATATAGGACGAGTAAAGATTAAAACCGTTGACAATAAGATCCTTAAAGCAGATTTACCGCCCTGAAATTCGTTTAGGTTGGCCGAGGTACAACCTTGTCTCGAACAGTGAAAACATGTGTCACTTGTCCGAGCAAAGACTGGTAACAAAATTCAAACTAAATACCACTGTACAAATCTAATGCTACAGCATTAACAAGTAGGGTAGTTACATGTTTAACAGGTCACAGTGGTTATTTGGAACATTAAATTTTTTGTACCTCATCAAGATCCTCCAGGTCATCATCATCTTTTTTAGGCTGAAAAAATGCAAACAAATAGCACCTGTTACATATGTTCTAATTTTACAAGCACTTCTACATTGCATATGACGAGACAACCTTCAGTTTAAGTCTAGAATTTTGAAACAAAGAGTAAAATATGGGCAAAGAGCATTCTCCTACGGTGCACCGTATTTGTGGAATCAACTACCTGAATGCATAAAAAATGCCGAATCTGTTGACTCCTTTAAACGCTTATTGAAAACTTATCTTTTCAAAATTAAGCCACCAGAATTTTTTGATATCGTACGTTGTCAAATATATGTATAACACTTTTATTGAAATTTTGTTAATTGTAATTGTAAAGCGCATAGAGTTCAATTTTAATGCGCTATATAGAACTTATTATTAAATTAAAATCAATTCCAGATGGACTTTGGTAAGTTGTACCTCAGTCTATATAATGTAATAGCACAATTGACTTTATTACTATAGAAAGTCACCAGTCAGCAAAATGCATTAAGGATACATCAATCCAAAATACCTTTTTAGCAGGAGGACCTTTAGAATCTCCATCAGCAGCTTTAGACTCTTCTTTTCTAGAAATTCAGGAAATTATAATGAATGTCTGGGAAGAGTTGACTAAACTTTCATTCCATTTCATTTTTCATTTATTCCTGCTATTCACACATTGGAAGAAAAAAAATACACAAGAACAGTCACATTGCTATTTTAGTCATAGTCACAAATTGTAAGGTCAGTGACTTGCTAAAGGAAGGGGGGTGGCTAAAGGGAAGGAAGGGAGGGGTGGGTGAAGTGCTTTTCAAAGTGCCAATATCAATGCATGTGTTCAGGAACTTTTCAGTAATGCATCTGGAACAACTTTACTAAATAAAATACACTTCTGAGAGGTGATACAACATTGCCAGTTACTTGATGTGGGATAATTGTTTGTTTGGTTAACTATTACCATGGCAACAGTTACTAAGGAAACAAAGAAAAAATGGTGATATTGTGAAATATAGTCACATGTGCTGAAAAAAATTAAAGACAGACGTTCTTTACTTGAAAAGAATACCTTACCATAGATCTAGTTTTAAATATAAAGGCAGTAGAGATACCCAAAAGAGTTTGAGAAAAAATTATTTTTTTATATGTCTGGCTGCAATAGCCAAGAAACTTTAAAAAGTGATAGAAAAGATACATTCACAGAGCCCCATATTTCTAGCTTTTATTCAACAATCACACTACTTCAAGGAAAGTCATTCACAGAGCTGGTGCATGTGAGCTTTTGATGGAATCTTTGCTAAGATTACAGAGCAAAGCAATCTGTGCTTGAACCTCAGAGAAGAAGAAGATAGAATCTGAAGATCATCGTCACAAACAAGGTGGCATTTACCAGTGAGGAGAAGAAACAAAACTGATACATTTCTTCCACTATGAGATGATCAATAGACCTTCATCTCCTGTTCTGCAGATTTAAGGAACAGAGTTGGTCACCACAGTTCAAGAGTTGGGGACAGCAACATAAACATGGTGCTTCTTCTTCCACAGTTTGTCATAATGGAATGCAAAGGACATTGGAAGATACAGCTTGTGGAGACAGCTGAGATGATTCCTCACTTTTATTCTATGGATATAACAAGTAACTCATGTTGTCTTCCAGGTTACCTCATCAACATGTGCCAACTAAATAATTTCTAGTTGGCAATCAATATGTCATCATCATCATCAAATTAGCTCTGATAAGAGCTCCCACCAGGAGTTGGTTGATCAGGGAGCCAATGAACACCTGATTGCAAGAAATTTGTTTATCAATCAGGGAGTCAATGAGCTCTGATGGGAGTTTTTCCAATCAAAAGAAGTTTGTTGGTAAATTGGCAAGTTAAGGAGCTCTTGTGTAACCTTGTGCCTGATGTACATCATTCAAATATGGACCTACAGATGATCTCAAAGAAACTGATTTTCATCTTTACAAACATAATTTCAGATCCATTTAGTGCTGTTACAAGAGGTTGGCCATTTAGCAACCTGGCTATATAGGAGCAAGTCTTGCCAGACAATTTGGGTCTTCTTAATTCTGAAAACCTGTTGGTGGAGGAAATGAAGTCATTGGTAAGGAAAGAAATTCAGTCTAATGATGATGGATTTTGGTAGCAATTATCAAAGAACATCAAATGTTTGCAGTTTTGTCAAAGAAGGCTAAGGTGAAATCTGCTGATGACAAACTTTAAACAGTGAGTGCAGAAAGGAATCTATCTGCTAAAGTGATTATTGAGTCCAGATCTGGAGAAGAATGGCTGCAATTGTGTGGATGTCATATTTGATTGCTATGACAGGCACAACCCCATTAAATATGGTGAACAAGCCTGTTATGACTCCACTAGTGAATAAGTCAGAATATCAAGTTCAGTTATGCCAGTCTCCCCCCCTCCCCCCCCAAAAAAAAATTGATGCTGTAGACTGCTCTGATGAGCGTCATTGTTCAGTCACCTAATACTGACATATGGTAGCTGTCCTTTGTATCTCTATATATAACATTTGAGATGTGACCAGTTATGGTTCTGCATTGGGGCAAAGGACATGCTCTTACATCTTCCAATACATTGCTCTATAGAAATGCTTGGACAAGAGCTTTGCAAACTTCTACCAGCATTCCACACTCTTAAGGGGTTTAACATTACAAGTGGCTTCTGCCAGACAGGCAAAAGAAAGGCTTGGATGGCTCTTGTGAATAGGAAATATACCTTCTCGCATTTACAGGGCTTGGGAGAACAAGCAATAAGAATTTGTTTGATTTATTTATTTAGCTTTGCCTAATTATTATCTTAGGCAGGGAGACCATTACAACCTTAGCCAATTACAGTGGATCCTGCATCAACAATGACAAGGCCAGACCCCCCTCCCACCAATTCCCTATAAACAGGCCAGACCAAATCACAGTAATCTTGTGAGTGAGTTCTTTAATGTCCCCTGCCTAACCATATTAACTAATTAATAGAAGCAGGAGACTGGACATACGGTTTATTCGTCCTTATCCGAGAAGACTAGAATATCTATCCATTTCTTGATATTATAGAAAGGTAGCACATTCTCCTCAGTTATTTTAAGACCTTGAGTGTTGGTCTGCCTGGGGCTTGAACCCTCTGCCTCCTGCCCAACAGTCCAGTGCTCTAACCAATTGAGCAAACCAGGAGGCAGTCTGCTCACTTTACCCTCCCCCATACAAAGTCAGTGCAACAATAGGTGAAGTCAGGTATGATGTCAAAAATTTCACTATTCAACTGGATATCTTGTCATGTACCTTAAACGCAGGAGACTGGAAATGGGTTGGCTGATACAACTTCAACATCTTTATCAACCTCAACTAGGAAAATCAGTATTTCCCACTTATCTTTTTTAACATATTTATCACATGGGCTTTGTATTTTTTGAGCCAAAAACACCTACCGTCTGTTGTTAACAGTGTAAATTAAGAAAATTAGCAACAAATCATCAACAATTGACCCAAATGATTTTGATTGTTCTCTATCATTGCAACTATTACCAAGGTTAAGGTTCATCCAATTACAGTTAACCCACAAGTTACTCCCCCTTCCCAAACTTTTCCCAATAAAATTGGGTTGAGTAAGACATCTTACCTACAACATACCTGAACCCTACATACTGATACTTCAGAAAGCACACCCACCCCCCAAAAATCAGTGTGTAGCAAGTCACTTACCCCACAATTTGTGACTGTAAATGACATACCGATGATCTGTGAGCATCAGCTTTTCATAATCTAAAGTAAATCCTTTTGTGTGGTGGGGGAGCTAAGTAGTGCTTTTTTTAGGCCTCTTTTTGAAATACCCTCTTAACTAATACCTGGTCCATACTTTGTTTTATCTGGTGTTATAGAATTTTTCGGCTTTGGTGCTTCTCTGCTTAGTTGTCGTTGAGGGGGTGGTTTGCCTGGTGGCCTCCTTCCTCTTCCTCTGTCATTCCATGGAGGTGGCATATCTTGTTCCCCCATAGGATGCCTTGGTCTCATGGGACCTGGAATCCCCATAGGACCTGGAGGACCATGAGGACCTGGCATGTGGCCACGCATCATTGGCCCCATGGGTCCACGTGGGTGTGGACCTGGATGTCCCATCATCATAGGACCTGGTGGTCTTGGCATGTGACCTCCCGGGGGCATGCGAGGTCCATGAGGTCCACCTGGGCCAAATGGGGGAAAAGGGTGAGGTCCAGGGTGTCGGAAAGGTGGTCTTGGACCTCGTCTTCCATGTTCTGAGAAGAAAAAAATTGTAGTTAATACAGATAACATTCTTTGGAGGCACGTAACTGTGCTATTTCATACTTTCCCATTTCTTACTTGTTATTTGAGAGTGTAGTTTAAAAGCATCGTAATATTATACTTTCCCACTTGGTACTTTTGATTTGAGAGTGTAGTTTAAAAGCACTGCACCTTCCATTTTGATTCGAGTTCTTTCTCAATAGCTATTCTCACAACTTTGGCCATGATGGACATTCCTTATTTGGGCATTAGACCCGGATATTTAAAAGTTTGAGGACCAGAAGAGCAGTGAAGTTTGTCACAGACTAAGAAAACCTTCGACATTAGAGATACTTTTCATTATCAACTTTATTATTGATTGATTTTGTTGTAGAAAACTGAACCTCACCCAATGTAGCCTAACTGATGGAAGCTACTTCTATCTGTTGGACCTTCTGGGATTTTGCTATCTTTTGGAATAAGGTATTTGTTTAGGTTTATTGCTGATTTGTGCTTTCAATGTTGCACTCAAACTACATAATATCAATCAAGTGCTTAATTAAACAAGTTATTGAAAAGTTAATGAGAGTAATTCACTCTATTATGATTGTTCTACTGCATTTCCAAAGCATTAGTTCAAGAGACATCAGATAATGTTGAGACAATCATCCATCTATTGCAAGACAATTCAAGTACTGGCCAATGTAAGGAGCCAGAAATAGGGAAAGAACTCTCAATCACATGCAAGTTGTACCCAGAATATTGTCAATGTTTAAGCAACAGCTAATTTTTGTGGAATTGAGGGGTAAAAGATGGACACTAATGGTAGCCCACTGGCCACAGACTAGTAGAAATTCAGTTTTGGCTAGTGGTTTTCAATTTCCACTAGCGAGTTTGGCAAGTAAACAAACTGGAATTGTTGTAACATCTAAAAACATCTAAGATGTCACTAGCCACTTGGCTAGTAAGTTGAAAAGTTAGTGTTGAGCCCTGGGGGTTTACGTGAAATGGAACAGTTACCCTTGACTCCCATATTTGATTGATAATTTTCTCCTCTAGTTGAACATTACATAATTCCTTGTAAATTAGCTACAAGAATTTTGGGTTAGATCAAGAAAATAACCACTACCAGACAATTTTGAGTATTCTTGTTAACTGTTGGCTGGATAATGTGTGGATATTATAGGGAGAGGTTAAATGTTTATCACTACGGGGAGTAAATGGTTTAAGTTTTACCATTTTCGTCTGCAAAAAAAATGTACCATAAAAACCTGCAATTAAGCCGCACCTTTTTCCCAAAAATTGTCGCTAGAAATTGGGGGTGCGGCTCATCTGAAAACATTTGAAAATGGTGTCGTGAATGTCAATGCTAATTTCAATTTACGTAAGTGTCTGACCTAATGCCTGGTTACTAAGCTTCAAATGTTCCGCTCATGTTCTTGCTGTAATGCAAAACTCTATGGAAAAACTATGTTGAATGAAGAAATTCCTCTCAACAAATGCCACAAAAAGATCAATCATATGTCGAAGTTGGTAGAAACAATGTTCATTATATTAAAGTGCTAAAATTGTGGGTAAGACTTTGAAGTATTTTCCATTGCAATGTTAATAGTGAGTTTACGTTTGATGAACAGTGGACGAAGAAGACTTCTCAAGACTTGACTTTGGATTTCTTTTGATTTCTTTCAAAAAGTTTTTTTTCCAAAATTTGAGCAGCTAAACTCAGGAAGTGTGGCTTATCTGCACGTGCAGCTTATCTCCAAGTTTTTACGGTATTCAAAATACAGTACTTACCAAAGTCAACTCCCAAACTCCCCAGTTCATCTGTAAATCACAAAAAAAAACTCTTAGTGGGGAACTATTTGCTTTTAAATAAATTATATGACAGAAATTGTTCTCTAAATGCCAACTCAAAAAATCAAAAACAATGAAAAAAAAAATRKWWAWT